TTTGGGGATTGTAATTTGATCAATAGATTTTGGAAGAAAATTGAAGAGTGGCTCATGTCTGATGCTGGAATAAAGTTAAACTTTCTCCACAAATCATACTATTTGGATTAAAGGAAAATCGAAATGATCCTTTAAATATCATTTTGCTTCTTATTAAACAGACAGTTTTTCACAACCGAAAGTATGGAATAGTACCAGATCAAAAGAATATTTTTAGAATCTGCTGCCAATACTATTATGTCTCAAAATGTATAGCTTTTCCAACCTGTTCATATGATAGATTTACAAAACTTTGGTCATCTCTACATACTTTATTTGCCTAGTAATATACTACCTGCTTTGGATAAAGTCAATATTTAAAATTGAACATAAGCAAAGACTATGTTTATAGCTGTATAGACTCTGATATTAGCATCTTTACATAAATACATATTCTCTTGAAGGTATTAAGAACATGCAATTGTTAATCAAATTTGTTGAAAACATCATGTGACATGTAACCTGTACTTTGAGAAAAATGTGCAAATAAAAACAGAAAAGAAAAAAAAGTCTAATTGTGCAGTTGCCATAACTGAACTTATGGAAATGATGATGGAGACTGTCATTTCCAACATTCATTTAGCATGCAAGTTAATAATAATAATAAAGATATTCATAAAGCTCCAGTCTTCTTTGCAACATTCCCAGTATGTGATAATATTAGGTGTAGACTAATTCTGAATTAAATTCTGACCACTTTTAGCATTAGCAATGTATCTCAAGTTAACCTGTGCGTTCGCCATTTTGGAATGACCATTTGTGATTCAGAGGAGCTATTTATGTCAAAACGATAAGCTGTGATTAAATCTCAGTAGTTTATTTCAAATTAATTATTACATCAAGACCTATTAAAACAGTTCACAATTTATAAGGGGCGGCTGGGTAGTCTAGTGGTAAAAGCGTTCGCTCGTCACGCCGAAGATCCGGGTTCGACTAAACTCACTCACAATTTATAAGTGAACTGATTTCGCCAATTGGCCTTAGCTCCTTTCTACTGATAGTGAGAAGCGTTCACCAGTGCCACAGACAATTACAAATTTGTCTCCACAAAATTCATAGATGGTGTCTGGAAAACGGGTTTAAATTTTCGAAGTCCAAAACCAATTGTCTCCATTTTTGTAGGAAATACAAACCCCATAAAGATCCTGTATTATCAGTAAATGGCACACCCATCAAAGTTGTCAAGGAAGCTAAATTCCTTGGTCTCATCTTTGATTCGCATTTTCCCTTTCTGCCACATATCAAACATCTTAAAGCCAAATGCCTGAAGGCACTCGACTTGTTGAAAGTCGTTTCCAATTCAAAGTGGGGTGGGGACCAAACCACCCTCCTTCATTTGTATAGATCACTGGTCCGATCGAAACTTGATTACGGCTCTATCGTATATGGTGGGACCTGTAAAAGCAACCACAAACTACTTGATTCTATCCATTACCAGGGTCTAAGACTTTGTCTTGGGTCTTTCAGAACCTCTCCCATTGACAGTCTCTACGTTGAGGCCGATGAGCCATCTTTAAAACTTCGCCGTATCAAATTGTCTTTACAATATATCACAATGAATATCTAATGAATCCCAATCCTGCTCACAACTGCGTTTGTAATCCTCTTTATAAGGATTTGTATAAAAAATCTTCACTTATTCCGCCTCTTGGGATAATAATCCAACAATACATTTCTGCTGCTGGCATTGAGTTGGAGAATATATCTCCTTCCAGTCTTCTTTCTTCTCCTCCTTGGCAATTAGTGAGGCCACAAGTGCTAACCTAACATTGACAAAGTTTAAAAAATCAGAAACTAACGAATTACAATATAAACAGGAATATAATCAATTAAAAAAGCAAATATAATACGTACAAGTCCTTATTTACAGATGGATCCAAGGATGGTGGCGCAGTGGCGTGTGCCACTGTCGTTGGATCCAGAACAATATCTTCTCGATTACCGGATAATAGCTCTATTATTTCAGCAAAAGCAAACGCAATACTAACAGCTCTTCAATATATTAATAGACGCCCCAAATTTAAACAATACATAATCTTTTCAGACTCTCTTTCGTGCCTTCAGGCTATTACAAATCTTTCTTGCAAACATCCACTTTTATTAGAAATTATTGAATTGTACAATGATCTTGCTACGGACCAATACAACATTGTCTTTTGTTGGTTACCCAGTCACGTTGGCATTTCTGGGAACACAATGGCCGATCTTGCTGCTAAGGCAGCACTCAACAAATCTGTGACACCACTTCTTGTCCCATACTCTGATTACAAAGCTACCATTCGATCCTACATCCGTGATCTGATGCAGAAGAAGTGGGACACCCAAGTAGGTATCAATAAATTACATGAAATAAAACCCTATATCGGTTCCACTTACGTGGGTTGTCAGTCCAGATTTGAAGAGGTCATCATACGACGATGTCGTATTGGCCACACAAGATATACTCATGCATACCTATTGAAAGGTGAGGATCCTCCATTTTTGTATCCGTTGTGATGAGAGAACCACGGTCAAGCATGTCCTGCTTGACTGTGTTGAATTCTCCATCATAAGGGATAATTATTTCAATAACAAAACAGTAAAAGACCTTTTTAATAAAGTTAATTATCATTTAATCATTGATTATTTAAAAGAGATAGACTTGTTAAATGAATTTTGATATATGTTTTGTAAATAGATAAGGTTTTATAATTGGTAGTTCAGATTGTCAACTTAGATTGTTAGTGGCTGTATTCTCAAAGGGGGTTGAAGTAATGTAAAATTATTGTCCTCCTGAGAAGGTACGTAAGTCCCAAAAACTTTCAAAGTAAAATTTTCGCGTACCAAGTTTTTAAACGTAGTATTTTTGTTCTTTTAACTTTCTGCTAAATTATCCTACAATCGCCAGCGGCTGAAGGGATGGTGTAAATCCAGCTAGGCTCCATGCAGGTAGAAAAAGTAATGTAAGTCCCCATGGTTCCTAGTATGGCGATCTACCTTCAGTTGTTGGCGATCTATAGCCTGTTTTTATATTGTATTGTCCAAATAGTGCTATTAGATTTAACTTTCCACATTAGTGTTAATTATAATTGTGATATTCTAGTTGTTTTACTGTCCTTCGTCGACAGGTTTTTATAATATACATATATTCCATTTCAATGTCAAATATGTTCTCGTCACGATATGGCTGCAATATTGCCGATGTGACGTTAAATAATAACTCACTCACTCACTCACTCACCAGTGCCACTAATTAGAACAGACTATAGTCATACATCCACAGTCCAGTGACCTCCTAATCCAATAAGATTTGTTAAATGATTTTGGACCTCCTAATCCCTTATCCAAACATTCAGATGTGGGGAAAGTGATGTTAAACCCTCTGTATATGATATTTCAATGTGAAAACAGTTAAGGATCTTTTTACCACTACTCATTTTTATTTAATTCTTGTTTTTTTATTAAAAGAAATTGATTTAATTGATGAGTTTTGAATAATGGTGGTGGTGGAATTGGATTTAACGTCGTGCTTGAGAATATTTCGCTCATATGACGACGTGCATGCGTGTGTATGTTTATTTGCGGCTGCTTGTACTAGCCCAGACTGAAGCTGGTTTTACAGTGCTAGCCCACTGAGATACCATGCCGCAGTGAAGCATGAATACCCCACTCAGACACATTATACTGACTCCGAGTCGACCAGTCCTTGTTGTACCCATTAATGCCGAGCGCCAGGCAGGGACCAACAAGTACCATATTTTAACGTCTTTTGGTATGTCGCGGTCGGGGATCAAACCCGCGACCTTCCGCACACCGGGCGGACGCTCTAACCACTACACCACGGAGGCGGTCGAGTTTTGAATAATATATTCCGTAGATAGATGTATTTTAATGATTGGTAGTTCAGATTAGTAACTTAGATTGTTAGTGGCCGTACCCTGTAAGGGGGGTTAAAGTATTCTAAAATTATTGTAGGTCCAAAAGCATTCAAAGTAAATTTGAACCTACTACTATTTAATCGTAAAGTATATGTTCTTTTAATTTGTGGCATGATTATCTAAACTTGCTAACGCCTGAAGGGATGGTGTAAATCCAGCTAGGGTCCATGCAGGAAGCAAATGTACTGTAAGTCCCCATGGTCCCTAGTATGGTGATCTACCTTCAGTTGTTGGCAATCTATAGCCTGGTTTTATATTGTATTTTTCACTTTATAAATATCATTTTATGACAACATGCTCGTTTTACTTGAATATCTGTGATACACTGGTAGTTTTACTGTTCTTGGTCAACAGTTTTTAATTTCTACTTTTCTTTTTCTTGTAATTAGTCTTGAGATTTGTTTCTTTTGGTAATACATGATAACAAAGAAATCATGATCGTCTACACAGGCATCGTTCAAGTTTGAAACAAGGGTGACGAGTGATATCTCATGTGCGAAATCGAGAGGATTTCATTTAATTGAAGCTACACTCTTTGATTCAAGATATACATTTCCTGCAGTTACGCTTACCAGTATTGAATGGAAATTGGTGATTGCACTTTCGATATTACTAATGGCTACCCGAAATTTCTTGCATGTTTGAGGTGTTATCAAAGGTTGCAGAGGATGTACAGTACACCCTGAAAAGTTCGCAGGCATTTCGTACGTACTGCCCATGCTTACAGGCTGTATATGAACCATATACATGACTGTACAACTATAAAGGATCTTTTAAATAATATCAGTTCTCATTTAGTTATTGCATTTTTAAAAGAAATATATTTGTTAAATGATTTGTAAATAGATACATATTTTATGATTGGAAGTTTAAATTAGTAACTCAGATTGTTAGTGGCTGTATCCTCAGAGGGGTTAAAGTACTGTATAATTATTGTCCTCCTGAGAAGGTACGTAAGTCCACAAACATTCAAAGTAAATTAAAACTCTCCACTATTGTAGAATATGTGTCTCTTTATATGTATCGAATCAACCAACGTTTTGGACACGAACCACGTTCATCATCGCTTGTGAGTTTTTTGCATCGTTTTCAAAACAGAACGCCTTGATTTTGCTGAGTAATTTATTACGAGTGAGTATTGGGTTCATCATTGTCAACCAGAGACTAAACAACTGTCACAACAGTGGACATATCTCTCGTCAGCTCTTCCAGAAAAAGGCAATGTCAATGACGTCTGCTTCCAGAGGGCTCCTACTGGAGGACCTCCCGATAGGTCAGATCTGCTGATCTGCATAGGCAACTGCGTGAGAATATCAAGCCTATACACGTACATGAGCAAGGTTTTCACGAAGTGAACATCAACGTTGCTTGCACTATCCGATTCCCATTCCCAAACTTAAGAGCTGTATTGTGCAAACAATGGCAACTTGAGGAAGGTGCCTTCTAGACAGGTGGGACGTAGACACCCCAGCATCATTATTAACCTCGAGGGCACCATTCGTAAATGAATGTTACACAATGGAAATCAAAAGTGTTAGAGTTTCAGATATAAAGATACCTATAGTCAATGTTTGAGGTCAATAACGTGTACATCTACAGTGCTGTAAACATTATCACAGAATTCAAAATATCTTTTGACCAAGGTCACTGTTACATATAACATCCCGATCACGTTACACATGTGCGGTTATTTTAAAAATAAATTGAGCAAAATACAGTCATCATTCTATATTCAGTTCATCAACAGGCTCTACACAAACAGATAATAGCCCTTATATGAAAACGCAACCATTTGACAATTGATTAGTGTGCATCTGACCTGAGAACTTGTAACAAGTGATATCATATGATTTTAATATAATTATGTTATGCGCATCTAAAGCGTACTCTTGCGTTGCTACACAATTCCAGGTTTTTTTTGGTTAAAACTGAATGCACATATTCTGTCACATGGTTTTAATGCATGTGAAATACAGACAGTAGAATATAAGGATACTTCAGTTTGAGAAACTTGGCAAAATTTACCAGAGGGGATCAGTCAGCGGACAATTTCCAGAAAAAGATGTGTCTTCAATAAGCATGATATCACGGAAGATGTATCACAACGCTCTCGCTGTTCCAAGTTATACAATAAATTATATTTTCTGTCATCAATAGCCTAAGTTCCTGGAAGTGATCTGAGTTACAGACATAATGCTTAATGGTATACTCCTAAACTGGAATATTCTTCCATCTGTAGTGACAGCGATCGATCGTCTGTAAGTATCATTATGGCCAATATGTAACACAACATGAAGACACAGTGTCTGGTATTTCTATATGGAATGTATGTTTCTGTATGATATGTAATACCATTACTTACAGATGGGCTTTAGCCCATTGGTCTTTTCGAATTAGAGCTTGAAAACATTGGTGATTGTTTGTGTAAGATAAGAATGCATTAGTAATTACTTACAACATGAAAAGATTTTCAACATTGTAAAGCTGTCGACAGCGAGTCTCGATACAGCCTTATTCGGAAAATAACCCCCTCTAAAAGGTTTCAGTTTGAAGTAATGGCGGTTCTATTATAATTATGTTTCACCCACTCCTGCATTATATAAATGACATCGATTTCACACATCCATCTTATTTGTGATACTTAGATCGTCAAGCTCAAATTTTTCTGGATCAACTCTGTCATTCACTGGCGACACACGAGGCAGCAACTCCTGCACTTCCGGATGACCAGGCGTGTGATCCTTTATCGATTCGAAAGTAAACACAATCGCTGCAAGGTTGTCTTTTGTGTTCTTTTCATCGGGTTCATTTGATCTTTCAGATGTTACATTGTCACTATTAGAATTGTTGGTTCCCAATTCATATGGTTCAATCGATCTCTTGGATGTCATGTGATCATCATCGGTAAGGTTGGATTTCAATTCCTCTTGATCTTTGTTTAAAAGATCTATCTTCGAACAAGGAATGATCTCATAGAAGGCATTCCTGAATTGAGCATTCGTGGCTATGTAAATCACAGGGTTCCATAATCCATTGCACTTAGCAACAAGAGCTGGAAGCGTCGCCATTAAAGGTGTAATGTCTCTGGAGTCACCAAACGCCGACATGAAAGACACGATGGCGTATGGTAGCCATGAGAACACGAAGATGCCTAAAACAGATGAAAACCGCAATGTGTAATCAATGAATGTGAACGAAAATCATCATAGCTTACACTGTGTCATTTTTTCTATGATTAATTCATATTATTACTCGGCGTCATTATGAAGGGTGAAGCTATTGGTAACACTAGTTCTTAAAAGTTGTAAAATCTTCGTTTTTGTTTGAAATATATACAACTGAATGTTTTACAAACTTTCTTAACAGTATGGAACAACACATCAGGCCGTTGAAATGTCATTATTACGTTCTTAACGTCCGATACATTCTGTTACAAATAGCGCATATTTTATTCAAATTGTCAATATGGAATTCCACCTGCCACTTAACGTCAATGATTTACACTGTCGTTCACTGTTCAAGGTACCTGTTTGAAATTGCAACTTAATATGAGACGTTTTTCGACGTTTAAAGGCAGCCGTACTCCGCTGTAGGCGACCTGCGGTTCGTCCACCACTAACACCACGTCACAGGCAGACGCGTTTGAGATGGAGTAGACATCATGGCCGCTGGAATCAACGTCAATTGTCTCGTGTGCTCTTCACAGATGAGGGGCGGTGGGGTAGCCTAGTGGTTAAAGCGTTGGCTCGTCACGCCGAAGACCCGGAGTCGAATCCCCACATGGGTACAATGTGTGAAGCCTATTTCTGGTGTCCCCCGCCGTGATGTTTTGCTGGAATATTACTAAAAGCGGCGTAAAACCAAACTCAGTCAGTCAGTCTTCATAGATGAAAGCAGATTCAATTTGTCCTTCCATGATGGTTGGCAGAGGTCGTCGCAATGGAGCGCAAATCACAGATGCAACTGTGGCCACGCATAACCGATTTGGCGGGGAGTCGGTTATGGTTTGGCAGAGATAACTCCTACTGGACCAGGACGTACTCCACTGCACGTGGTCGACGGTAATCTTACCGGACAGCCTTATCGGGACGAGATCTGGCGCCTAGAGCAGTACCATTCCTGCAAGCTGTGCATGGCTTTTATGGTCGACCCTCTTTACTGCAAGACGACAACGCTAGGCCTCATAGGGCCAGGATTGTCACGGAATTCCTTAGGCAGCAGGGTGTAGAGCGGATGTAGTGGCCAGCATGCTCGCCAGACCTCAACCCATTTGAGCATGCCTGGGATGAACTCGGTCGACGTGTGTAAGTACACACGTCACCCAGCACCAGTGTATCTCCCAGGACTCCGCAGAGCTCTAGCAGTGGAATGGAATGCGATTCCACAAGCTTTCGTTATGAACTTGATAAGGTGCATGAGAACAAGGTGCATCTGTGCCTTGGACGCGCGAGGAGGGTAAACAAGATATTGAATGACCGAGTACTCATTTTCATTTTGGGAAGTTAGTCTATACAACTGATGTTTACTGGTGCTGTTTGAACTTTCTGTCTGTATGTCACGATGTGTCACGTTCGTCAACACATTAAACATTATGATGACACTCTTAGTTCTGTTTCTAAAAGAAATTTTTCTTTACCTGTGCTATAGATCATTTGACCCTTTATTATGACGCCTAGTATATTTTTCACCGCTATTAGCCTTGTACGAATAATGGATTCTGTTTGGGCAGAATAAATAAAGCACACATGTGATGTCTGTTAATGAGATTTAAAATGATTTATGAAAGATGTGATAATTGAAGACAGTACGGTAGCGTCACATGATTGCTTAAGAACATTGTACAACTTTGAGCCTTGTCAGGTGGTCAGGGTACGTTTTGGCATACAACCATGCAGTCATGCATTAACTCGACTTTCTGGTCCAGACCACCATTATCTAGCTCGCTCTAATATTGTTAGTTCCGCCTTAAAAGGCTAAAGAAACATTCATTTACTTTGATGTCCACCCTGATACTTACAAACCATAAGAAAACATGTTTTTAACAATTTCCTTTCCAGTCTGAGATTCCTTTGGGCCACTCGACTCTTCACGTCCCACACATTACTTCTTGCAACATTTCGGATCTGAAAACAATACATAGAAATATATTTTTGCCTCTAAAGATCTAAAGAAACATTAATGAAATCATAATGATGTAATGGTATCAGGTGAGGTTTTGGACGCTATATGTTGTATGTTACTTGTTGTTCGCTTTGAGTGTGAAGACATGATTGTGGAGTCAGCGTGTCAAAGAGGTGAGGTGAGGTGAGGTGAAATTGGGTTTTACGTCGTGCTTAAGAATATTTCGCTCATATGACGACGTGCATGCGTGTTTATGTGTATGTGCGGCTGCTTGTACTAGCCCAGACTTAAGCTGGTTTTATAGTGCTAGCCCACTGAGATACCATGCCGCAGTGAAGCATGAATACCCCACTCAGACACATTATACTGACTCCGAGCCGACCAGTCCTTGTTGTACCCATTAATGCCGAGCGCCAGGCAGGGACCAACAAGTACCATATTTTAACGTCTTTTGGTATGACGCGATCGGGGATCGAACCCGCGACCTTCCGCTCTCCGGGCGGACGCTCTAACCACTACACCACGGAGGCGGTCTAGCGTGTCAAAGAACGCATTAAGCTGCACTTGCATAAAGGTGTAACTATTATGAGTCACAGGAAATAACTTCATTGAACTAAGACGTCCTGCAAATTGTAGTGCAAATTCTCCAGGCATACAATAGGCGCATGGCTTTTGCTTATAAGTTTGTTGGTCTTTAAATGGCATTTACAAATGATACACGCAGGAATGAGAATTTTATGGATGTCAACTTCTTTATTGTGAGGGACACGTTTCGGAGTATATATAAGGAAGAGAATTTTATGGATTTCATAATGTATTCTGAAACGTGTTCCTCACAATAAAGAAGTTGACATCCATAAAATTATCTTCCTTAAAGTTTGTTGGTGTCTTGATAAAATAAATGTACCCTAAATTACCTACATGATCATCTAGGAGATTCGAAGAATGATACAAGATAAAGCACTAGGTCTTTTCATATTCGTTTCTCTGTACATGCATTTAGCTTTTTGCAATTGGTTTTTTAAACAATAGTTTATTTGTTTGTAGATAACCAAAGAATGTGTTTAGTGTCAATGTATTACAAAATTGATACTTTAAGCATTTTATGTTTCAAGAAATAAAATTTAAAAAAACCCATCTCGTATGTCATGGAGACCTAATAAACACTGTATTCAGTTTTTATTTCTAGTTGGTTTATTTCTTAATAATAATGAAATAATAATAATGTGTCCATTTATATAGCGCCAAACTCCACACTAGTTATGCTCATAGCGCTAACAATCAAGAGCACAATACATTATTTCCCCGGATAACCCAAGCTGCCTGTTAGGCGCTAGAAGGTTATAGTCACATGACTTTATTCCACCGGGTACCCATTTTGCTGCTGGGTGAACAGAGGCAATTTTGAACAAACTCACTTGCCTAAGGTGAGACCACATGTATCACATGTGTTTCGTTGTGGGGCAGGACTGAATTCCTAGAAACTCTCAGGAGTCAAGCTGCCAAACACGGTTAAGTTTTAATTGAAACGCAACGGTTAACTCAGAAAGTATGTTCGTACAGAGCTGAAGAGTTAAATCAGTAACTGACCACACTCGGTTAGTGAGTTATTAACACACGATATACAAAGGTTAAGGTTTAGAGTAAGAGTAAGGCAGTACAATGGTTTACATTCCCACCAGCAGCAATAAATACAAGGCCATGTAATATGCAAATACACCGATATATGTCTAGAATGTTCGCAGCGGTTCTGTTTCTGTTCGTTAATCTGGAATAGTGCTTGAAGTTAATAGGCCAGACTAAATCCCGTCGTTAAAGCCTGGAATATGCCTCTTGTCGCTATCATGTATATCACTCACCTAAATATATTGTCAACAAGTTACAAATTCAACCAATTTTAACTCCACGCAATGATCAAACTTGTGATATTTGTTACAACAGTCAGGTGCGTTAACTGTAATCACATTTATTGTTAAACTCTGGCCAACAGTACTCGACATTTAAAGGCGCTTCAATTATGTGCTCCCGCTAAAGATGAGGTGAGGTGAAATTGGGTTTATCGTCGTGCTTGAGAATATTTCGCTCATATGACGACGTGCATGCGTGTGTATGTGTATGTGCGGCTGCTTCTACTAGCCCAGACTGAAGCTGGTTTTATAGTGCTAGCTCACTGAGATACCATGCCGCATTGAAGCATGAATACCCCACTCAGACACATTATACTGACTCCGAGCCGACCAGTCATTGTTGTACCCATTAATGCCTAGTGCCAGGCAGGGACCAACAAGTACCATATTTTAACGTCTTTTGGTATGACGCGGTCGGAGATCGAACCCGCGACCTTTCGCTCTCCGGGCGACGCTCTAACCACTACACCACGGAGGCGGTCTCCTCCCGCTAAAATCACTACAAACAACAAAATATATAATTAACTGTCATTTCGTTATCTCCTTTAAACCTAAAACCCCCCATTAGCCAATATATTGCCAAAGTGACTCAATCAGTTGTGTCTGCTAGCAGTTTTCTTATCCAGGTGTTGACAGTACTATGACAGCTCTGTATGTATTCTTATGCAAACGTTTGACACGTCAAGAAAAAGCAGAAAGGTCAAGGTCACTAGATATTCCTGAAACCCTCTAGGTCGAAATTACATCTACAGCTATTCATATCTAACATCCTACCTCATCAACTGACAACTTCATGTCCGTCAAACGCCACGCTCAATTGTGAAGATCAGTATGGGATTAAATATCATAGCTGTTACGATACTTTTCGCCTTGTGTAGTCTACCTTACCCAAGATAGTGAGCATCAATTCGGGGCTTTCTCCAACATACAACTGACACACCGTGATATAATTTCAAAGCAGCCTAAAACCCAACCATTTCTGTAAAGCCTTACATGCAGAGCGCAGGGCGTTTATTCAAATATTTATATTTAGCCTCTCTCTTAACTTTATTTCATGGATTGTATGTTTTACGGAGTGTTCGCGTTGACCTCTCTGGACACATCCACGTCTATCTAGGAAGTACAGAGTGAAACAGTAAAACACCACTGACATATTGCCATAATGTGTCGATTTGTTGAATTTGGCCATTATCTTGAACGCATGACGTTATTTAGACCTCATATCATCTCCGCTCCCCTCCTATCGTGTTTGCAATTTATGTCAGTATTGTAAGTTCCCACGGTCCCTAGTATGGTGGCTTTACTTCCGTTTCTAGCAATCTCTTACCAAGTTTTATCTCGTATAGTTAATTCTTAGTTTATCATAAATAATTTTCCTTTAGCTATTTTTGACAAATGTGTGAAAAGCTAGTTATTCTAGAGGTTTTTGTACGGTTTATAAATATTAGCTATTATGTATAAATGTGATTCGTCACGATACGGCTGAAATATTGCCCATGTGACGTCAATTATCACTCACTCACTCACTCACTCACTCACTCACTCACTCACTCATATCCAGGTCGCCATTCCCCACATCTTCCAACTATAAAATCGGAATGTTTCATGTTTCCGTCCGAGTTTTATACGGTTTATAATTATTAGCTATTTTTGTATAAATGTTGCCGATGTGATGTTAAATAATCAGTTGCCAAAAGAGATGAACGCAACAAAACCAAATAACATTTGAATATTATTAGAAAACTGAAGGAAGCTGAAGGTATCCAGAAGTTGAAGGTATCACAAGATGCCCGCGGAATATTGATTCAGACCATTATACGCCGTACAGACGAATGTTTGGGCTGTCGCAGAGACATGACCCAATATTAACCTAGTCATCCAAAGCATTCATTGTTTTACCACAAGCCCATTCTGTCTTGGTTGTTTCAATAACCCCTAGGTGCGTTGACCATATAGCTACCTGATCCAACATTAAACTAACAGCGTAGGTGGTATGGGTGTTACTATCACACCTGTTGACAATTAACCAATACACCTTTCACCTTTATCGGTAACGTTTACGCTGGCCTAGGATCAGTATATCTTTTGACCTGAGTACGTAAGTCCCAAAACATTCAATGTTAATTTAAACCTACTACTATTTTTAATCGTAGCATATGTGTTATTTTAATTTATGGTTAGATTATCTAAAATTGCCAATAGCTGAGGGATGGTGTCAATCCAGCTAGGGTCCATGCAGGAAGAAAATGTACTGTAAGTCCCCATGGTCCCTAGTATGATGATCTGCCTTCAGTTGTTGGCAATTTATAGCCTGTTTTTATATTGTATCGTCTTGTATTGTTAAAATGTTTTAAATTTAATTACTAGTTTAAAAAAATACATCTATGATAAACTATTTGTTTTACTGTCTTTCGTTGACAGGTTTTTATAGTTTACCTATAATTATTATAAATATATAACCAGCGTTTAAAATTCCCATCTGCCCGACACTGATATAACTTGATATAGTCAAAATATGACTGAAATACTGCCGATGTGAATTAAAATTTTAACTTACTCACTCACTCACTCTTTTGACCTGAACAGTGACATATCTGTAGTCATATCCTGAAATATGTGTTCCATGATTCAGTGATATAACAGAGATATGAATGAATGCTTATACTGTAACAGTAAACAACTTGATGACCGTTCGAGAAGAGGCGATAGGATCAGCTGATCAAGCCGCTTTTATTACGTTTTGCAATAATTACTAAAAGTGCAGCCCTTGATCTTTGAAAATTACCAATTCAAACATGAAACACATTCTGCTGTGTACGTATGCTTAGTTCTGTCGCATTTTCTCGGATTTGTTTGTGTGAAATTCAGTACAAAGTCTAGGTGACGCGGTACGCCAATTGCCAATGACGTATACAACGTGTAACGTTCGTAAGTACATATTGTATAATTTTGGCACCAAAACAAGCATTTACAAGGTATATAACAGATTAAAGAGAGGGGAACTATGCAATAAAGAGAGTAGGAAACAAGCACTGATAAATTAATATCAAAAACATACATGTAAGTATTTGTGAAGGCGTAATTAGTTTATGGTGTATCAACAGGTTGTCTGGGTAAATAAGGACTGTTTGTTGTCGGTTCAATTAAATTCTTCATTAACCTTTGCTTTACAGCTAATCTGTAACATACATGACTGTTAATTTGTTGGTACGTAGTAGCTGTTTTGGTACAATATTCTTAAGGAGCACAGTACTTTAATTGGATTTATGGAGATTCCTGTCTCATATTTAATGCCCTTGAAAGATATTTACTCCTGTTACGAAGCTGTATAACATTTTTGGATACTAAAAAACTGTAAAAGGTCAAGAACCGATAGGTTATACCAGTAGGAGGGCTTAAAGTACATATATCAATTCTTCAAATAGAGGGAATGTTACATTTAAACTGGAATTTATCCTCAACATCACTTGAGCAGGATAAACACGAAATAATACATTAACAATGTGATATCTTTAGTTTCACGGGACAAATCATTTGAATAAGGTCTAATTCAGTGAAACAGTTCCTATGAAGGCTTTTTGTAAATGCTGTTGTAAAATATCAATATTACATGTTTATATACGACAAATTTGGAAAGAAAATATGGAAAATTGACTTCTCATGAGTGGAAAAAATTCATGTAAGTCAAATGATTTACATTTTACTGAATTGCAGTGTCAAATAGTGTGACTTCATTGGTTATTGGTTAATGTTTACTGCCAGTTATTGATTACGCGTAATGATAAATAGATATTGTTATTGCATTTCTTCCATTTTCCAAATTACACAATCGTATTTTCAGACACAGAGTACATGTATGTAAGTGTAGTTTACATAAACATTCCAACGTAGTTTGCAATTGCAAGATGTAAATATAACTGACTACTTACTGACTAGTGTCTATATCCAGTTTCCAGTGACAGTGATCATTTGATTAATATAATGTACCTCACTTTCAATTCATTTCTAAACTGATGTTCAGAATTTTGTACAAATTGGAAAAATTAAAAATAAATTCACACCTGTGATGACTCATACCTCTGAATGACAGGTACATTTGACAGAATAATTAAAAATAAAATCTTTCAAACTATTTTCCTTTTTGTCTGAAAATGTACGATGACATTGTTTTGCTGATTGCTCACGTTATTCCATTTAATCACAATGCTATCTACATATACGTATCATCATGTTAATGATCCTTTCTCCTCTGTATGATGATCTCACTGGGGAGTACCTTATTGAGGAAATACGTCGTGTGCGATATCATTTCCTTCTATTCCAATCGTTATAGGTATGGCATTGTTTCATGCCTGTTTTGTGTCTCATGTCTGATCATGATCGCAAGAACACGCATTAGATTTCATAAAGAGACATACGAGGAACCCTATAATGACAATACATGTTTGAACATCTGTAACTACAGGCAGTAATTACTGTCAATTTGATGTACTCACAATGATAGTGTTGCTATCATCCACATCATTGTGATGTGCGTTGGAGGGCGTATGGAAGGAAGAACATAATTATAGCGAAGTAGGTATTTGCTCTAAAAGGATCATTATTAATGAACATCTGGAACTATTTCAGAAAAGGCTGGAACTATTTCAACATTTTCTCTGCACGTAGGAATATACCTTCGCTGCTGTATAACATTTTCATAGTAGGCGATTTATGGCTACTTCACACTATCCATAGCCGTATTGTTCGTTTTATTTACTTTTACGTTTATTTTTAAAAATATACTCTCAGTCGATCGTTTAATACAGACTCGATTATTAACAGGTGGTTGTAATACAGCTACTGCACGCAATGTTCATGCTGAAGCTTTGCTTTGAACAGCTTTGCTCCCGTCGTGGTATTTTAATAGAACAGATCTGAGACGTATTTAACCATAAATTATAATTCACCATAAAGGCGTGAATGTCTTTCTCACTATGATCATGGAAGTGACCAGAGATTCCATGGGTCTGTGATATATGCCTGTCAATATGTCTCTACCATCGGCTCGTTACCAGAAACACCAAACTCAATATAAGAAAGGGAAACATAACGAGTGTTAGATTTACGATACATTTTTTCACTACAGTACATACTCTTGTACTATTGTTGGTTTGAGCCCCATCCGGGATTCAATCCCACGCTCTCAGCGCCAGGCACCAAATCCCAGCACACAAAGTCAATCGTCTAACCCACTCAGCCACCGAGGCTTCCACAAAATTAGAAGTCGGACAACTGGTAGTACTTTGTGTACTCATCTGACAAGTGTAATTTAGAACGGCTCCCGCAACAGAAAACTGTGCATAAGTAAAAGAAACACTGATTGTTTTACATGGTTATCAACTCACCGTCATGTACACATTCACGTAGCAGAAGGCCATGATACAGACGGGGAAGGTGAAGCACAAAACAAAGATGATGATGATGTAGCTGAAGTTGACGGGGTCTTCACTCTGCCATACAATACTACAAGAAATCCCGACCCCTTCCAAATTATACTGATTCCACCCTACCAGAGGAAGAGCTGCCCAGAAGAAACCCAACCCCCAACACAAGGAGATTGCTGTGGCTGCCACTCGATGGGTAATCTTATAGGACAAGAGAGGCTTGGAAATCACAATGTATCTGTCAACTGATATGGCGGCCAGAAGGTACATGGAGGTAAGGCCTAGGAAGTACACCATAAAACCTTCAAGAACACAGACCACATGGCCAAACACCCATCCATGGCTGAAGCTGGCGGCACATGCCACGGCCGAGCACGAACACATCAATATGTCACAAACACACAATGCCATCACGAACAAATTTGTCGGTGAACGGAGAGTCTTGTTTTTAATGAACACGAACACACCACATCCGTTCGCCAAAAACGAAACAATTGTTGTTACTGCACAAATTACACCGATAATGTTGTAACCAAATGGTGACAACAAACTGACCCTGACTGACGAATCGGTGGCCATTGCGCGAAACACAATAGAGTTCGCGCTGATGACAGCTTTGAATTTCGTCGTCATTTGTCAAGTAGACACCTTTCCACTTTTATTCCGAGAAGTTTGAAATGGAAGCTGAGGGCATGTCTTCTTCCATCTCATCATCTTGTAAGGATTCGTAAAGAGGTGTTCAGAAAACCGTATCGTCCATTATTGCGAGAGCATTTCCATTCACATGAATATCTTCCAGGGGTCCTACAAAATAAAAACAAATAATCTGACAAAACTGAAAAGTTATACTAAACAATTCATGAACGAAAAATAAGTTCTATGGATAGTCAACTTCTTTATTGCAATGAGTGCAACGTTTCGGTGTAAACTAACACCGTTATCAAACAAGTGACACACCAATTTGAAACAAGGAGGATGATATCTGATTAGTGATTTCAGCAGAGGAGGAGGATGAGCAGAGGACCTCCTCTGCTGAAATCACTAATCAGATATCCAATGTACATCAACCTTGTTAATTGTATATACTCACTATGCAGCAATGTATATATTCTCCTTGTTTCAAACTGTTGTATCACTTGCTTGATAACGGTGTTTGTATCTACACCGAAACGTTTCACTCCATTGCAATAAAAAAGTTGTCTATCCATAGAACTTAGTTTTCCTTCATCTTCACAACTTCTAAAATGCCTCTCAAAGAACTTAAACAATTCATACGTGAAAATAATGCAATGAAATCAATTACGTAATGTAACTGATGGTCATATATTGTTTATACAAAGAAATGCATGTATATATGCTAACACGTGAATCTTCTGTCATCCCTCGTTCTTTCTGAATATGTAAGAGACGACTAACGGGATTGTGTGGTCAGGTTCGCTGACTTGGTTGACACATGTCATCGGTTCCCAAATGCGTAGATCGATGCTCATGCTTTTGAACACTGGATTGTCTGTCCAGACTCGATTATTTACAGACCGCCGCCATATAGCTTGAATATTGAGTAAAACTAAACTCACTCACTCACTCTTTCTGAATATAATCTTATACGTGAGGATTTACGGAAACTAAGTATTTAAGGAGCGGTCATTGAGAACTATCATGTGATACCCTCCAGATTACTTCACCAGGGCATCGCACACATTACACGCAAACTTTGATCACACATATATCGAAAATAAATTATCATTGGGATTTCATTGACACATATTTCAAAAACCGGCGTCCTGAATCCCTTGTATGGTGAATGTGAAACGTCGCCGACTATAGCTAACATTGTTTCATGGGATATTGATTTGAACAGAATTGGATTTAAATCAACCCTTTACACACGCTAACGGTTGACGTCAAGCACTGAATATATTGGCTGAAAACAGAGAACACTGTAATGCAATCTGCAATCAGTTAGAACTCTTTAGAGCTCTGTCTGGTCTGTTAGCCTGAGGTTTAGAAATGCAATACAGACTTATCCATCGAGGCGAAACCCATACCCTCCATGGAGATGACCCTTTCTTTGTCACAATGACAATACTCTAGGGTCTCATTACCAAAATAAACGTCTGGGGATACATGGTCTAAGTTTGTCAATGCATTCCAAAGGTATTATCAACATTAAAACCGGTGACTGGAAAACATAAATAAACATAAAATAACCACATAACAATGGTCGGATATTGCTCAGATATTAAATTGTGAGAAAGTAGTTTTCCATTATTTTTTGCATTCCTTTGTACAACAAATGAACGAATAGCAAAATAAAAAACAAAGTGAAGAGAAGCTTTTAATCGTGTCCTCTCCAATTGCTCTTCGATACAGTTACAAATATACTGATGTTATGATAACAGTTTGAATCATTTCAAATCACAAGGCATTTCAAATCATCAAATGATTTCGGTCCAGATAGCAATGTGAACCAGCCAAACACCTAGCATGCATGGAGCGCATTCAACTATCTAGAACCATAGGGATGATATCGCCAAAATGAAGCAGTAATTAGCTGTTACCTATCAAAATATATGAACTTTCACACAGTGGTTAGACGGTTAACTAGATTCGATACGTTGCGTTAGCCGTTATTGATAGACCCCTGAGGTCGATTGACGGTAAAGCAGTAAACAGTGGGTATGTGAAGCAATCCTCCCTTCCATCAAATTAAACTAAGAGGATTCGAAACATCTTTGCATGACAAAGCATCTGATGTCTTTATAACAGTCAGACGTAATCTCATTTAGAAAGTAATCTTCTTAACAGGCATGGTATAAAGATACAGAAAGTTCATTGCCTGTTTTGTAAATTAAGTGGTATCTTTGTTGTTGAAGATGAATGGCATGTGTTTTATATCTGTGATGCATATTCTCATATCAGAAATAAGTACATATCAAAATATTTTAGTAAATGTCCATCAATTATTAATTTTATATCAATATTACAGAGTGAAAATGTTAATATTATCAAGGATGTATGTCTATTTTTATACTTTGTTGACAAGAAACACAAATCTAAATGAAATATATATGTGCTCTACTTATCATCAATTTATGTACATGTATTTTGGGCCGGAGGCCTGTTACTGAAATAAAATTCTGTTCTGTTCTGAAAGTTCAGACATAAAAAAGAAGATACACGTAAAGACATATTTTCACGATTGAGATGGTTTTCCGTGAAGATAGTAATTCGATTCTTCCACTAACAGTTACCCCTGTATATCCTAATGGGAAATAAAATATGTGGTATAATGCATTCCCTTGTGGGTCGTGTGTTAACTCTCATCACTCGCGGGGCTTCATAACAGAGACAATATTCAGGATAAAGCAGTTATACGACTCCTGTGTGTGTTGTTATGAGATCAAATCTAAAATTCAAGACTCTACGCTATGTCACGCGGTGTTAAGACGTTGCTCCATCGGAATAGGACCAGGGACCTCGGTGAGACAAGCGAATGCTTTAACACTCAGCTGTTACAGCACCGTCTCAATACTTAAGCTGTTTGATCCGACGCAATTGCTGTTAGACAGACAGAGAAAAGGGCAGTAAGATCGTTTTAGGGTCAATTGCACAGAATTCACTGAAATAGTATGACCTTACACCCCGACTTTATAGAATATCGAATAATGATATCAACCACTACATTATATCAGGCACTGATTTGCTTTTCCTTGACTCAATTATGTATATGCCGCTTTGGTACAGCAAGACAGACAGACAGACAGATTGTTTATTGTAGTCTCACCTCGTCACAGTCATTTTAATAAAAACGTACATACATAATATATACATGATAAAAACTATACATAACCTAAGACAATATAAGTGTAAAAGTAACGAGCCACCCTGTACAGAATTACGAGCGACTTTAAAATTATAACATAAAATTATAGCAAGAAGTAAGCTCAAAGGTGTAAGCTTACAACAATGTGGAAACAGATACGGATAGACAGAACATCTTGCTCTATGTACGAGCTACTTTTCATTGTGAAGTCACCCAGTCTATCGATAAAAAATAAAAAACTGTATACAACCATTTGAAATAAATTACTGAGATCGTATCCGAGCGCTGTAGTTCTAATGGGAACTTCAAAGATATACATGTATAAAGGGGAGAATAATATATAATTATGCTTCGATTAGATCAAAATATAGATTACACACATTATACTCCGGTCTCTCGTGGAGGCTTGTGCTAGTGCGTCACACGCCCAGTCTTTTTATACTAATCGCCGTGCAAATAACATGCATTTAATGACTTTGTGTCTAAGAGGTTTCTATGCAAATCCCCTTATGAATTCGGAACACCAGAAACAATACCTGTGCCAAAGGTAACTATGTTAGAATCATGTTGCTTGTTCATATGCGCAGTATGTCTACATCTACATTATGTCGACATTTGTCTAAGACTGTGTTATTTCCATTAACCTGTTGTTTTCAACATGTAACAATTAGTGACTTATAACTCAGAATAATAAATAATTACTAAATTCTCGACCTAATCATAACCTCCTTGAATTTTCTTTAGATGCTATATATGCAGTTAAATGTTGGAATAAAGGAAAATTCTGAAATACAAGAATTATATAAATTTTCTTTAAAAAAGTAGAAACTATACAGAGGAAGAATTTGAATTTTAGGAAAAATATTTGTCTCCCATTGAACATCTATGGGATACTCTTGATCGACGCTTGCGCCAGCGTAATCCGCCGCCTCAGACACTACAAGAACTTTACACAGCACTTCAGCAAGAGTATCAAAACATTCCTCAAGACAGCATTCGGCATCTCCATTCTTCTATAGGTCGCCGCTGCCAAGCTGTTATCGATGCTCATGGTGTTCACACCAGATACTGACATTTTACTCTGACCAAGTGGTTTTACCAAACACTTTCTGGATAATCATGTTTTGGAAATTTGTAAAGTGATGATTTTACTGTAATTGAGCAATGACGTTTGAATCAGTTTTATGCACTCAGTAAGTAAAGTCCAAAACAGCATGTATAGTTTCTGTATGTATAGTGATCTGATATAGTATTAGATGAATAACATAAATACTGAACGTAAACGTTCGCATGGAAATGGAATAATTTTATCATTTTTCTTTAAATGGTCCATATTTTCCTATTAGGAAACGACACTTCAACCGTAGGAAGTTTGTTTTGACCCATTAAGATGAATAGAGTATAGGAACATTATTTTAATTTAACATGATTAGCCGTGAGGATAATACTGTGTTTTTTCAGCACACTACCTGACCTTGTGTGTCTCCTTATAAATGTCAAATTCTTGTAACGTTTGGAATCCTTCCCTGGTGGGTCGTGCGCTATCTCTCGTCACTCATGGGTCTTAATAACAACGATTTCCGCCGGCGATATCCAGGATAAAAGCTGTTATTTGACTCCAGTCTCTCGCTGTAATTGACGGTAAGATACTAAAGTGTGTTGGCCGCGGTCAATATCCCAAATTCAAGTCTCTACAATATGTCACGTGTACGATTAAAACCCGAAATACGACAGTGACTTGGCAAATGAAGTTCTCTGTGATGTTCATGAGCGTTCTACCTTGTGGAAACAAGTATTTGTCAATGGTTTCAATTTCTTTTTGAGATTGATACAAATCTGAACGTTCCGTTCCTTAAATAAGAACAACCAATGCTAGAATTCCAAGGGAAAGGTGTCTGGTTATAACGAAAGATATCAGTATTCCGAAAACATCAACATCACACCCAAGCGCATTTCTTGCAACCTGACACTC